CAGCTTAATGCGACGTGTTTGTGAGTGTGAGAAAAAGACAAGCCTCGCGATCCAGTGAGCGACTGTGAGTTGAACAGTCAAGTATGTGGGTGACTGGGTCGCTACACTTTTGACCGTGGTAGCGAACAGGAATGATGTCTTAGACACATCTGAGTACGAAGAACCATTTTCCCCCTCTCCCCAAGAAGTGGTTATAACTATAGTCATAGTTAATTCAGTTTAGTATACTAGAGTAAAGTAATTTAACTGAGGTCCCAAGAATGGTATTGAGTGGGTGCAATCAGAAAGTATCCAAGACATAGCAGAAAAAGATTGAAGCCATCTGGCTTACTAAAAAAGATCATTCAAAAGTAGTGTGGAGTGTTCGGCCGATGGCCTGCTACTCGTCACCAACATACTTAACACTGAGCCAACTAAAGGAAGAGAAAAATCACCATGGCCATATATATTGATTTTCCCCCCATTAAAATGGCCACATGTTTTTTTTCGAACCACAAAAGTTGCAGTTCGATGTTCAATTCAAAAATCGTCCAAAATAATCAGCTGATTACCGAGCCGCATCACCCATAAGCAAAACAGCTGATTTCCCACTGGATTAAATAGGTCAGAGGTCTATTGACGGTCTTGCAAAGACATAAACAAAGAACTTGTCGCCGAACTTACCAAAACATTTTCGGAATTCAAAAATTCGATAGAGAGTATTCTATATGACTGAGTGAGAAGTTGATCATCTTCATGTTCATAGCTTTCTGGGCGAAAGCTGAAACAAAATAGGCACGTATTACAGGCACGTAGCTAGCAACCGAAAGCAGACGCATTGTTGTTGGAGACAGCAAACGCTGAACATGTTGTAGGCAAGACATATTCACCAAGCGACGAATAATGCGCTCTACCAGTCAATGGGCACGTTTCAGCTAACCAAATGAGTAATGAAACGCCTGAGACCAACTCGTTGAAAATAATTTTTCGGTAGCTTCATAATAACAATGACCCGAAAGGCGAAGAGTGAGTGAGGAAGACCTTGAAGATCATTTGTGTCCAGTAAACATGTATTCGGTCCTCAGGATCAATCCGCATTGAAAAAGTGACCGTCATTAGGGATTCCGGTCTACACGAGGTTCTCCATATCCCGCTTGGCCTATGAAAAGCAACACAAAATTTCCTAGGGTGCATTGTTGCAGACATCGAGGGCCTTGAACTTGGTATCTAACCAGTTTCCGACGATTTTGTAGTGATTAGCGTTTCAGAACTACTTGACGGCCATCCAGAGCCCTGTCTCAGCAATTAGTCCATCTCGAGTCCTTATTATTCACAAAAATGCGGTTTTTAGCAAGTCTCCGCTGATTACTACAGACAACTTATCGACCAACATGGCTTTCGTCCACTGGACGACCAAGTTCAGCTTATCGGCGACTTCAACATCATCACCATTGACATCATGACATCAGTG